CCCTGAACCCTAAACCCTGAACCCTGAACCCTGAACCCTAAACCCAGATTTCTGGGAGGAGATTCTGCGGAACGGATGGCCGAGAGCTTTGAATTCTCAGCCCTAAACCCTATAGTCCCCCTGATTCAGATAGAATATAGGCTTTAGGGTTTAGGGTTTAGGGGTTATAGTCCCCCTCAAGTAGATAGAACATTGGCTCTAGGCTTTAGGGTTTCGGGGTTATAGTCCCCCAAAAGTCGATAGAACATGCCTTTGGGTATGTTGTAATAAAATCCCGTTATTCCCCATAGTTTATCTACTTAAGGGGGACTACGAGCCTTAAACCTTGCCCCGGCAGCTACTTGAAAAACAGTAGTCGGGAATAGGGGAATATTAGTAAATAGGAATCACATATTCCTGTGGTTAGGTTTCTTATCATCTACTCCCTTCCTTAAAAGGGGCTGCGTTTAGTATCCTTGTGCCAAGGCGCTACATTTCGAGTATCCTTGTGTGGTAAAGAGTCTTTCTGTGAGGAATCCGTTAGCCGCGGCCTTCTTTCTACAGGGTACTGGCTGGGACATGCAGAACTCCCTGCTGAATCACAGGCTCATTTTTGAAAGGGGCAGCCCGAGATCACGTCGCTTGTGATGTAGAGCCTCCAAGCCCCAGAGCCCAAACCCTAACCACTAAACCCTAACCCCTTGGGCCCTAAGCCGTAAACTCTACACCTTACACCCTAACCCCTAAAAGTCCAACTCAAAGCCTAACCATGGGGCTCCAAATAGCCCAACGTAGGTACTACTGTTGATACGAAAAATCCTGCATGACCTTAGTATACTATAATACCATTATTCCCAAGGTATAAGCTACTTAGGGTGATGCAGGATTTTTAGTATCCACCCTAAACCCTAAACCCTAAACCCGTAGGGATATGATTGACGTGATTCACGTTGCAAGTCTGAGGCTCATGGAGGCAGCGCCAAGAAACGCGCCAGCGATCATTAAACCCATGGGCAATTGAACCTGGGCATCGTAGGGTTCAGGGTTTAACCCAGAGGGTCCAGATGTATAGGGAGATTACCCCAATAGCGGAGAATCAAATGCAAGAGCAAATGGCATATGAAGTGGAAACTGCTTGCTTTTTATAGGGAGTTAGATATGCATTGTAACCCGGAGGGACCAAGTGTTCAACGGTTGGTACTTGGGCGTTTGGGTACTGGTAGCTGTCGTAGAAGTCTTAGTGGGATAGATGACTATTGGGTACGTGGACCCTTAGGGTTAGTGCTTGAGGCTTGAAGTTTCCTTTAGGGTGCTGCAGGGATTAGCGTTTAGGATCTCAGGGTTTGGGGTCTAAACGCTTGGGGTTTTAGGGTTTGAGTTTTGAGGGTTTGGGGCGATGAAAGGCTAGGAGTTTACAATTTACGGAGCAGGGTTACGCCAAGCCATCCCGTCAGCCTTAGCAGTATAATCTAGTGATGCCGGTGTCCTGCGCCTTTGTAGCCAACACAGATATATGCATCTTCTAAAGCCTAAACCCTAAACCCTGAATAGTAGTTTCCATGTTCTTTCCCACTATCCCTCTATAACCCCTATAAACCCCCTTAAGCGGGAGTAGTGAGTTTTTAGGAGTTGTAGCGAACCCTGAGCCCTAAGTCTTTAGGATTATGGGTCGCTCCTTGAATCAAAAGACATAACTGCGATGTCCCGAACAAGAAATACTTCAGTCTTCTCCTCAACAGAGCCGCTAACAAAAGAGGGAAATGCAGCAGCCATGGGAATGTGTGTGCCAAAACGACTTGCCCTCGTGATAAGAATTGCCTGCAGTGAGCCCGGCGACCTTTGGATTCTTTCATCACCATGTGAGAAACAGCCCATATTTACCCAGAAAATTAATGGACATGGGTTCCTTCTTAGGGTTGTTATCAGGGACCATACTAACCTGCAAGAAAAACCCCTATGTCCACTGTTAAGGGTCCCTTCATACGGTGGATAATAGAAATTCTGCATGACCCTAGGTACCGCATACCTTGGGAAAAAAAGGTACTATAGTAAACAAAGGTCATGCAGGACTTTTAATATCAACTAACCCTAAACCCTAAACCCTACCTAATATTGGCAGTAGCGGTGAAGTGAAGAAACCTGTGAGGGGTCCAGGCCTCTCTTAGGTGCACATTGCAAACTGCAGAACTACCAATACAAGTAGCAACAATAAGAACAGTAAACATACAAATGCTGACAATGATATAGGATTTAGGGTTTAGGGTCAATTTCAATAACGTGAATGATAATAGTAACAGTTAACACTAAGAATAACAATAATCATTGGGGGACAAAGCCCTAAAGACCTAGCAAAGCCTGTATCCTAAACCCTAAACCCTGAAACCATAAAGCCGTAGGCCTTTCCTGCGCACCCTTGGCCCGATGCACCCCTGGTGTCGGAAGGAGCCACGCAGATTGCCATGCTCAAAGGCGTCAATAACGCTTAGGTATAGGTTCATATAGGGTCATACAGGGGTATGGAAAAGACAACGTATAAGGGCTGTTCAGAGTTTAGGGCTTGAGGCCCATATAGGGCTTCATTGTGGGATTCAGGGTACGAAACCTCAAACCCTGTTTGGCTTAAGAAAGTCTGCTGGTCTAGAGGGCAATTTTCTCCATTGGGTCCAAGCAAGAAATTGTTCGTTGTGGGATGGGCTTTTACGAAGGAAGAAACCTGATCTCTACACGGCTCCTTCTCCGCGTGCATTGGAACATCCGCTCCTTTGCGGATATGCTGCAGCGAGCACCTGTTCAGCCTAATTTGGCATGCGTCATATACGTTTTTCTCTTTCAGGGAAGCGTCCCCAAACCCTAAACCCTTTTTTGCCCTGGCTCAGATTCCTAAACTCTCTTCAAGCAGCATAAATGGGCCGGAGGAAGAGGTCGATCACAAACGCCAAGGCCAATAGCAGGACACAGGACCCGGCAAGGAGGTTCCCCAACATGTCCATCTGGGTGTCTGCCTTGGGCTTACTGGAGTCTCCTGAGACCTATAATGAACATAAATTTGCTAATTTATCCTTAGGGGTATGATATAATAGAAATTAACAAATAATTCCTAAGGACAGTACAGCTTAAGATTTCTTGGGAGTGTTTATGCTTCTTAGGGCTTACTAAGGTCTGTTAGCGTTTACATTCATTAGGATTCATTGGGTTTAAGGTTTATTTGAATTTAAGGGCATCGAATGTTTTAAGTCCTGCGCACACAGTCCTACATTGCCACATTGCAAGACATAGAAAGCTTGGCCTCATCAGTCCAACGCGACAGCATGCCAAAATTCATCACAACAGTGGTGAGGAATGTTCTTCCTGCTTCACGGTACAACCAAAAATGCTCTCGATGGGTTCTTAAATGGGCCCATTTTACCTGGCCTTCTTGTGGGTTACCTCACCACCGTACTTTAAGGCACAGTGGCTAAGAAAAAACTGCATGACCCTAAGCGCCTTATTCCTTCGGAATTATAATACTTTACTTTAGGGTAGTAAGCTCATATAGGATCTTTCGTATGAACAGTACTCCGCCGGGCTCAGCCCTAATCAGGCTCATTCAGGGCTATTGAAGGTTGATTAAGCGGAGTGCATGAGGGGGGAAGATAGGTGCGGCGGATACAAGAACCCATAACCCCTATAGGACCTCCATGTTGTTCATTCCGAGTTTGAAGCTTTTCACGCTAAACCCTCAAAGTCCAGACCTTATAGTAAGCCTACATTTGCAGCACCTTGCAGCAGCTTAAATCCAAGCAGACCACGTGATACCCCTAATTGCTGAGCCCAATTCCTTGTACATCTCAGAAATTCAAGGCTTTGAACATCCTAAACCCCAAAGCCTCAAGCTCAAACTCCAGACTCTAAAGACCTAAAGCGTGAACCCGGGACCCCAATCTTCCGTGAATATCCCTAAATGCTACCCTACACCCTTATCCTTGAATCCCTAAATCCAGGAATTTCAAGCTAAACCATAAGCCCTAAACCCTTAACCGTAATCCCCAAACCAGCAGTCCAGGGGCTGCAAATTCAGCAACTTTGACACCCATGCCCATGCTCGAAAAGGCAGCTACCACAATTGCCTCCGGCAACCTGGAGCTGGCAGTTGTAGGGGTCACCCTAAACTCTAAACCGTAAACCTTAAACCCCAAACCCTAAACCTTAAACCCTAAACCCAAGCCCGAAACCTTAAACCTTAAACCCTAAACCCAAACCCTAAACCCCAAACCCCAAACCCTAAACCCAAACCCGAAACCCTAAACCGGATTCAGGCTTTAAGATCGGGGAAGGGTCAGCTTCAGGTCAAGCAGCATCTACAAATACTTAGGAGAATTAAGCTTATAGTCCCCTTAAGTAGATAGAATACAGGATTTAGGGTTTAGGGGTTCAGAATTTAGGATTTAGGATTTAGGGTATATAGTCCCCCTTACGTAGATCGAACATGGGGAAACTGGGGATCTTATTAGAATATACCCAAGGCCATATTCTATCTACTTAAGGGGGACTATATGAGCGGGGGTCAAAATTCTTATCCGGTTTCTTTGACGGTAAGGATTTTGCTTACCTAGACCCTCCTCCTACCCTCTATTAGGGCCTAAGTACCTACTATTAGGGACCATATATCCCCAATTAAGGGTACAAGGAGGGTCCTGGTACTCTGGTTTACGAAGCCCAAGGTGGAGCTTACGGTGCTCACTTTTCTTGACAAACGCTTGCGGCGCTTACGGTGGCAACGTAGAGAGCCCTGAATAAGAGCTTACGGCGGCTTACGGCGCAACATGCAGAACAATTTTGCTTACGGTAGCTTACGAAACCCACACGGTTGCTTACGGCAGGCTCCTTACCGCCACTGGCTAAAGGGTCCCCCACAATAGGGTTTTGATCTCTGCTCACATGTCCCGAACAGGATGATGATAATGACGATGAATGATGACGATAAGCCCATGCTCCCGACTGTAGGGTAACATCAGGGATTTGAAAGGAGCGGCAACGCTGGCCTGCAAGGTCGAGGAGGCGTTACGTCCTGGACTTGCATCTGGTCTGCAAGTGCGAGAAGCTACTTCAAAAGCAAGCTACACTGCGTGAGTAAAACTTCTTGTGCAAACAGTCGTCTAGCTCATGGTGCCTTGCGGGTGGCGATGATTTCAGGTGGGTCTTTGAGGGTCGGGTTTCCTGGCATTTCGCAAGGCTGAACTAAGGTTGCCTATAATTGTGCATGCCGACTCGTGCCGGTGACTGAATCAGCACCTAGACAGGAGATCTGAGAGTGCTCCCGGTGCTCCTGAGCCTTGCTGGTTGCGTGCTGGAAGGTTCGCTCCGGCGTGCTGAACTCCTTAGGAGGCTCAGCCTGCACATGTCTGCACATGTGAATATTCTCAAGCGTCAAGCCGCCTCGTTCAACTTAAATGCTCAACTTGGAGAACGCGTCACCAAAAACTAACGTCCTACATCTCGGCTGTTCCTGCCTCTGGAGCGTCAGCCACCTCCTGAAACCGAGGATCACGTCGAGATGTGAGACAAGAGTCCTAGCTTCCTAGCTGGCTGCTTGCCTTACCTTGCAGGATGGGTTCAGAAAACCTGACTCAGATTCAGAGGCCATAACTGCGCATGCATGGTTGCCTGTTTAATCCACACATGCAGTCCTCTGATGCAAGATAAAAGGTACAAAATTGCAAGCAGCAGCGCAAGATTGTCTCTCTTCAATCAACGCCCGGGACTTCAACAAAGAAGCTTGCTCACACGTTGTCCCGACTCGCTGCTTGCTTCGATTACATTGGATGTCATTTGAGAATCGCTCCTGCGAGGTCGCAGAGGATTTTGGCATGGCCACGCCACCGTGCCGCTCCTCAGCCTATGCGACTTAGGAGCATGAGGGGCAACCACACTGTCTCCTTGTGGAAAAGGCGCACGAAGCCCTAAACATGTTATCAAGCTGAGAGTCATGGCGCACTGGGGCCTGTGGAGACACATCAAGAATTCCCACTACTTGGCGCAAGCTGCCGAGATGCTTGACGCTGCAAAGCCAGTTCTAGTACCTGTGAGAAGCAGCTAGCAAAGCAAAAGCCAAAGCCACATGAGGGCCCAAATGAACAGGAAATCAAAACACTGATCTTGACTCCATTGAGCCCGAGAGCTGCAAATCATTGCAAATTCTCAAAGATACACAGATACACTTGTATTTAATACATGAAGCACCTCATCCGGCTCCGCAAGGCCCAACTCCTTCGCGCGGCCAGACATCCGCTTCTTGAGCACAGTTGTGAGCTCCGAGCAGATTCTTTTCCTGGGCCATCACAAGTTAAGTATTGACTAGATCAAGCAAGGTACATCAAGCTATCAACGTTGGAAGTCAAAAATACTTGATAAGCTCAGGCATGCGGTAGACTTTTGGTTTCTGACCAGCATCTGCTCAGCAGATGCCTGATCTTGCTGTTTGATCTCGTCCATGATGTCCTGCCGACCGTTCAGCAAGTTTGAGTTCACTTCGGGCTGTGAATGTTAGCAGTGCTAAGTAAAGAGTTTTGAGCTCGGTTCGAATTCGATTGGAATGCAAAGTGCGACTGTGGTCGCTGCAGCATTCATACAAAACGTGGCGTCTCGCGTGCAGGATGTATTTCTTGAATCTTTCGCTGTCCTCAAACGAAGGATCCAAAACGGCAATGTCCCAGTGTAGAACCCGATCCTGCCGCTGTGGCTGGCTCGTATAGGGAGTGTTCGGGGAAAGCACAGTCTGCTGGTGACTGCTAATCTGCTAGTCTATGCTAGTCTGCTAGTGCCTGCCGGCCTTGCCAAGTCCCACTGAGCGGTCAGTGAAGATTGCAACTTTCTGGCCAGCTGCAATTTCCTACAAGGCTTCACATGATGTCAGTGTGTCCCTTCCGGTACAAGCCTGCACCCTCTGCACATCGCCAGAGCAGACTTTCAGCCATAGGTCCCTGCAAGGTTCAAGCTTCGACGGATTGCGCATCTCACCTTGGCAGTTGCGCACCTGGTATGGAACAGCGCGACTCGCGCAGCGGTCCAATCCGAACCTAGGGGCAATGCCCAGACCTGCACTGCATGGATAGCACAACCTTTGCAAGAACACGACATGACGTGAGGTGACTTGCTGAGCTTTTGTGCCAAGCCTAGCCTCGGGCACAGGGGGCAAGGCCCCTGAAGCTCTGTTGACAGGCTGCTGGCCCCAACCCTGGGCGATGACCTGAGCAAACATGGCCTCCTTACCAGGTAAGAATTGTAACGGGCGATGTAGACTTGTCGTTCTTGTCGGCAAAGCACCAGAACACCCCTGCCTGTTTTTTTTGATGCTTTCCGGTTTCACACTGCGCTGGCTGAGATCTCAAGCTTCAGACCTCCCCGGCACCGACCACTAGGGCAATGCGAAGACCTGGCATTTCTGCTTCACGCTTGAATTCAATGGCTAGCAGTACTAGTTGTGCCATGACTGCAGGAAGGCGTTAATTTTCCATCAGGCAGCTTCAATCAGATAATCAGCCGGCAAGATTCTCATACAGCGACTGTACGAAGACAGATTCGCTCGGCTCAGGCTCCATTCGAGAGATGAGCTTTTGCATGTCTTCAGGGACCCCCGCTTCGAACTCCATCTGTTGGCCTGTAACTGGATGTGCAAAGGCAAGGCGAAAAGCGTGCAACATGGGTCGCGTGGCTAATCCTGCATATCGCCGGTTGAGATGTTCCCAACCGTAGCAAGCATCACCTATGATGGGAGAGTGCTCCTCAGCCAAATGAACTCTAATTTGATGGGTCCTGCCTGTCCGGGGTCTTACCTCAAGAAGTATTAAATCCCGGTTGTCCCTCGCCAGCCCCCGAACCAGGCTCACAGACGAGCGCCCACCACAATCTTCGGAAACAGCCGCCATTCGACGACGATCCTTTTTGGAGCGCCCAATTGGGATATCGACGAAGTGGCCACCGCCCCGTGAGTGGCCAAAGAAATACTTTCGCCCACCAACAGAGATAACCAAGTAGGTCTTTTGGACCTCTCGCCGCGAGAATGCTTGACTTAGCACGGCGAAGGCCTGCGCCGTCTTTGCCACAGCTATCACTCCAGAGGTCCCCACATCCAGGCGATGGACAATGCCGGGCCGAAACTGGGCCGCTGGCCCAGGCGGTGCAGCTGGCAGACCAGACTCTGAGGAGCGGAATCCCAGGTGGTGCAACACTGCATTCACCAAGGTCCCGGTCCAGTGTCCTGGAGCCGGGTGCACAACAAGCCCCGCTGGCTTGTTGACTATGAGAATGTGAGCGTCCTCAAATAGGATGTCTAGATCCATTGGCTCTGGCTTCATTGGGAGCGTCCTTTCATCCAGCAAGAAGCGAACATCAACCACGTCACCTGGGTGGAATTCGCGGAAGGACTTCTTGCGTGCGCGACCGTTCACGTGCACAGCGCCCTGACGGATCAATGCCCCGAAGTAGCTACGTGACTGCTCATACTTCTCTGACAGGAGAACATCTAGTCGCCGCTTTTCCTCGTCTTGCAGCTCGAACTGGTCATGCTCCTCTGGACCTTCTTCGAAAGCAAGAACGCCTTCGCTTGCGAAGCGCACATACTCAGTCTTGCATGCCCGTCTGCAAGCTCTGCTGCTCTTCCGTGCTGCACCAGCAGCAAGCAGTGTCAGCAGGTGACACCCTCTTCTGCCTTCGTGAGGGTGACCCTTCACACCCACGCCCTCACTAGCTGGCAGCAGCTTCACAAGCCCATTGTGCCTTGCAAAGTGCAAAGGAGCAGCAGGGCCACAGAATGCCCGCATGCTGCTGTCTACAGTACACAGCCCGTGGCTGCAGCACAGTGTCCTGTCAACATGTTGCAGCAGGCGCCCGCCGACGGAGAAAAAAGCATAACACGCAGCTGCTGACACCGGAATTGTGGAAACCGCATGCCCGGCCTAGTGCATGCAATGCTGGCTTTGGCGCGGGCTCCTGCGCCATGCCTTAGCAGCAACTGTGCAGAAGCGCCCCAAATAAGCTGTTCCGTAGACGAATGTCAAGGATTTCTTGGGCACATCATGAACACCTTTTTGGAGCAAGTCTGAGTTTCGGAACGGCTGGCGGCTCGACGATAATGGTGATCTCCGTTTTTGGCGGTTCTTTTGCATTTTGACCAATTCACATCATGTTCTCAGTCGAAGGAATCAGCCGGCGCTCTCTTCACAATCTTCAAGCGACATCGACGCAGTACCACAGAGAACATCACAAACGGTGATTGCTGCGACAATAAACACGTCAGAATCTCTGTCTGAGTCTGAGAACTTGACACATTACACGCAGGCTGATGAGTTATTCAAATACTACTGGTCATACTTACGGCGCTGCCGGTTTTCGTGCTTACTTGCTTTGTCTATGCCCCACTCCGACTCTAGACATGTCTTCACCATGTTTCCTCCGCGGCTCTATTAGGCTTGATTCCTGGCTTTTCAAATGGCTGCCAAGCTGCAGAGAAATTCACGAGAGAGCCGTTCGAAAAGATGTGTATCCAAGGACATGAGGAAGTTCGTATGTGCCTCTTTTGACCACATCTGCAAATTCAGCTGTAATTCATCGGAGCAAAGCCACATCTGAGCCCTGCGCATTGTGCGAATGAGATTCTGTGGCCCAATCCAACGTTGCGACTCGGATGCTTAGCAGCCTTACGTTGCGTCATCTTTACATATTTTACAGTGATGTGCACCGACCAAACTCAACTGCGCCAAGTTAAGGTGTGTGGGATGTTCTGAACGCAAGGCTAATGAGAAGTCAAGGGGCTGCTCCAGGCGAAGATGCCTCAAGTCTGACTGAGCAGCAGCAACGTCGCCTGCAAGTGAACCACGCGGGGTCTCGGGGTCTCCATAATTTCCATGCGACTCGCTGTCCAATCCCAAGAGGCATCAGATCATTGCAATCACACGGCTGGAGTGCCAGTCTGCAGACTTGAAATGGGGTAGCACTCGCCCTATGATCGCCTTTCTTAGCGAGAAGTAATTATGCGCTCGGTTTGAGATGACTCGGTTCAACCGCAATCTTAAGTTGGCCGAGCCTACCAGCTTTTCTCTACCAGAAAGGTTGGCTAGGGCGAAAGTGGACGGCAAATGACCGCTCATGGTTCCGCCTTCGAGCAAGATCTTGAGTTCTGTCTCACCACGAAGTAGGCGCTGGTAGAAGGATGGGGTCATGAAGAGCTGGCCTTGGAGTTGCACAAGCGAAGCTGCAAGCAGGATGATCACCTGCTTGATGCTGGGTGGATGGAATATCTCTGCGTCATGCAGGATGGGTCACGCGAGAAGAACATCTAATTAGAAGATGGCTGCGCCCCAGGTCCAGGCTCCCGCCCGTCCGCTGCGGAAGCTGGCAGAGCTCCTTCGAGGCTGGACGCTTTGGAGTGGGAATGGATTGAAATGTTTAAGTGGCCGCGACATGCCGCGATCCCGAGGTGTAGAGCGCGTGAGATAGTTGCACAAGACCGCATGGCTATGACTCATCATGCTTAGTTTCTTGGAGCAGTGCGAAGCAGTGCTGTTACTTTAAGAGTTATATGGTGGGCACTCGTGTGGCAATGGTAAGAAGCCAGATCTGGCTTCGGCTTTCCAAGCCTGGCTCGTGAGTCCGCACGTGAGCTGCGAGCAGAGCCGCGTCATTCCTGCTTTCCTTGGTGCATGAAATCCACGAGACTATACATTGCACATTGCTCTGCGCAGCTCACATGCGGCACCAAGTGGTTGCTAGAATCTGCTAGAACACACCGGCAGAAATAACGTTCCCAAGCAAGCTTCCTGGCTTGGTGCTTCATTCGCAATAAACGGCTCAGCGAGGCTTGTGGGTGCCAACTAGGACTGATTCAAGGCCAGACTTCCAGAATACATGCCTTCAAGCCGAGTGGAGACTCACCAACGAATAATAAGAATAATAATCAACAATAAGAATAGTATCATATGATAATAACATGTTGATAAGAAGAGCAATAGTATTAGGAATCAACGACAGTCAAGTGGTCACTTTCATCCAGCAAGAAGCGCGCCTCGGATTCGCTACGTCTGCTGTTACACACCGGACATGCAAACAGGGGAACAGGTCTTGTATGCTCCGCAAGCCTGGGCCGAGGGCCGCCCCAGTCTTTAACACGACCTAGCCGTTAGCATTTAAATGTCTTGATTTGAGTGGGATCTTTATAGTTATAACACCTCTGTCAGCAAATCATGCTGGACGCCCTCCACACATTTAAAACACGTCTCCGCAAAACCTGGTGAAACATCAAATGCGACAATACGACCTTAAAATCAGGCAGACATGGAGAATCCTCACATGTTTGGCTAAATCGAGCGTTCACGTCAAGTGTTGTCAGATTTTCGGCCCACATGCATGTTTTGTCTGCGGCATCTTCACTGCCCATGTGGCAAAAAAAACACGGACGAAGATATTTACATGCTATTTGCAAAGCATTGTGTTTGCTTGGAAAATGTGGCGGGGGAAGTGGGGGGGGCGTGGACCGCGGCCAGTTGCAAGACATGGACATGGACCAAAACGAGAAGTGAGTGAGTGAGTGAGTGAGTGAATGAGTGACTGAGTAAGCATTGATTTGGGGCAGCGCACCAGGCCCTTTAATCCGAGCAAGGGTATAGGCAAGGATGTGTTACCTAAATCTCCCCACGCCCACTCTCACAATTAGGAAGCTTGGGTTGTACGGCTTGGCCTTGTTGAATACACGCTGCATTGTCCTCGTCTGCTTCTTCCGGTTGATGTTGCGTTCTTTCTTCTTCTGCTCTAGGCTGCGCAGGAAGCCCAAGGCTTCTGTCTTTCTTTCGCTCGGGCGGTGACCAGAGCAGATTGCTCTCTCCTGGGATCACCAAGCAGGAGAAAACACCACAAGGACTGGGTTTACCTATTAAACAATAGCCGGATGGCTAGATTTGCTAGCATGCGACTTATCTTGGAGGGCTCTTCCGCACCACCACCCTTGGTCTTCGAGTTTGAGGAGACTATCCCTTGCCCCATTTGGGTGTTGGAGAGGGCCTTTGTGTGCCTATTTGTTGGAGTAAAAGAGGAAAAACTGCTGGAGCACCCCAGGCCGTTCCTCTTTCTGTGTTTTCTTTCAGCGAGGCAGGGACCAATGGACCACAGGAGCGAACATGTCAAGATGCACCACGCGGGAATTTGAATTTCAGGATCTTGATTCACGTACTCGATTTTACGTTCAAGTGTACTTGCATTTTTGAATCCGATCTATTGCCTGTTTATGTACACCTGATGTACATTTAGCATCATCTAGAATTAGTCCAGGCGGTGGCAACAAATATTCCCGCACAAAAGATGGGAAGACTACTAAACTGTTTTGCTTGCTAACAAGTTCAGATTCCGAAAACCTATAAATTTTCAACAAGCTCGATCGGCAATAATAATGGCATGTCAAAAAAAATCTCCGCGCCCAAGAATCCCCCGAGCGAATCTCTTCTACTACTTGTACTACTACAAGTAGACTACCACCTGTACTACGCAGTCCTACCGTCACGCCCCTGGTTCATTATTGCGACCACCCTCCCCTGTAGACCAAAATCGCAAAAAAAAAACTGTTTTTTGGTCGCTTATTGTTGGCTTTCCCACCTGAGACTGGGACCTTTTAGGCTCATCAAGGCCAAGTTGCCGCATGTGAATGGATTCTGACGTTGAGGCAGCTGTCTGATCATCTCACTGAGGTGCTGACAGGACACGCTGCTCCCCGATGTCTTGCAGCTTGCGGCGAAGCCTCTGCTCTCGATGGACTGCGTGGCTTTACAGTACTGCTTTGATTGCAAGACTGCTACAGGGTCCGAAATACCAACCAACAGCATCGCCGATGTCCGGCAACCAACAGCATGGCATGCGATGCTGTGCTCTAACAAGCTCCAACAACAGGAGTCAGCATACACCCCGGCAAGCACATGCCGGCATCCAGCCAAGCTTCGTAATCTGCCAGCAGCATTCGTGCTACAGTAATGTTGCGCTCTGTTCGGTGTATAGACCCTCCCAAAACAGAAGGGCCGCCAGAAATTTGAAAATAGGCATCCTCACTAAAGCTCCCACGGTACTTATGGGGAGGTGCTGGGGATTAAGTGCTTCAAATTGGGATGGTCTGGATTCGGCTAGGGGCCTACTTTCCAAGCCAAAACACATAGAAGAGAGTCCTGAACCAATAGGCCAACACTCTGTGAGCCGAAACAATAAAAAAGAGTCTCTTAGCAAAAATGAGTACAGCATTATCATTATCACCTATCCTCTAACCCTTCTTCCTGATGTGGCAAAGTTGCAACTGTCTGCTGACTATAACGACCCGTTCCGAGCGTTTTTAAATTCCCAACGACGCGCAGCTCAGTTGCCTGCCGTGGAGGGGGTTTTGCTGTGGACAAAGAAGACTCCACACACCTTTCTGGCAATGTGCCAAGAGCTTGTATCAGCTGCCCAGGTTTGCAAAGCTTCGGCGGCACATGTTTCTATAAAGTGGGACGTTTTTTATCTTGCCACGAGCGAGTATCAACCATGCACTACACAGGTTAACTGCCGCTTGGTGCCTGCAACGGACTAGTTGCAAAGGAACTGCATTTATTCTCATTGCTGGGGGGCTGTCTGGACATCAAGACAAGGGTCAATACGCACGAGGAAGATCTCATGCATTGTACAGTGGTCTAGACCCGTGATTATATCCTCCAGCTGCTTTGCAGTCACCTTTGCCGTGCATGCGCATTGATATGCATCATGGACAGGCATTCGCCTGTTGCAGTCAATCAGCACAGCTGGGCAAACAGCAGGGATCTGGCCCCGGTCCTGGTCTTCTGCTCAGAGCTTGTCAGGTGGAGTGCATGCGTGGAAAGTGCGTGAAGAAGTGATGACTGCAGCAATAGCTCATGGCGGCGTGGCTGCGGTCAACGTCTGCGCTGACAAGGCTTCAGCCAAACAGCCACGACGTATGTCATGGACACAGAGGACTCCGGATCATAAAGGAAGGCGATATGCATCCTGACAGCCCAGCTGCCTTGTAAAGCTTCTTGTGAGCTGTGCATCTGTCGGCATCTTGGGCTCCTCAGAGTGGAAGCTAGGTTGCACAACTTTGATGCCAAGCTTGTATGGCCACCGCCTCTGAGTCTGCATTGCTCTCACGTTCTCCATAATGGTACAAGTACTGCTAAGGATCATGCAGGCACCAACCCTAGCCATGCCCGCCATGCGTCATAGCGGAGTTGGAGTTCTGCGATGGTCGCCCGGGTCCGCCCACCTACATTCCATGCCACATGAAGTGGGGCAGAAATCCTAGCCGATGCGTGTGCTGATGAAGGCGGTTGAAACAGAAGTCAAGCTGGCAGGACTGCTGGTGCAAAGAAACTGCAAAGCTCCTGACGTTAACGCTGTTGCTAGCCTCTGTTGACCTGCCTAGTTTGGAAACCCCTCAACCCAACAGAAGCCTCCAGTGCGAAGCTGCTGATCGCAAGGCCTGGAAAGCAATACTGAGGAAAGTCAGAGCAGGTTTTGGGCTGTCGATCAACAGCGTGACGGGCTTACCCAATAACTGCAGTCATGGCCCATGTTCACGCTGTGGCTTTGCAGCTTTTGAGATCGGGGGGCAGCGTCAGAAGGTGTTAGGGCTACGTGCCCGTCAAAGCAAACAGAAAGAGCAGGATGTGCCAGTGAACTCCTCAATTGGTCGACGCTCTTGCCTTCGCAGCACATTTCTTTTGCAGTCTTTGCTGCGAAGTCTTCGGTGCCACATGCTAACTCTGCCATCTTGTTAGACCCTTTGTTTTGGCAATTGGCAACTAGCTTCAAGGTCCAATGTTGCAGACTGCTGCTCATGGGCCATATGTGCCTTACTCACTTGAGGCTTTCTTCACCTGCCGCAGGCAGTCAAGAGGCTGGCAACCTGTACACGTATGAAACTGCCCAAGACAAACAAAGCTGAGAGCGCCCAAAGATTCCATTCGCTGCTCTCCTCAACCTGCAGTGAGATGCAGATGCAACAGAGTGGTCGCGATGTGGGTTTGGATCCACACACTTGGAGCCTAACTCCATCAAGCGCTTTGGCATCGATCCGCCCACTGCAGAATTGAGGTCTACCTCACCCAAGAATGGTCCCAGAGGATGCATAGACATGCAGCACATGCACCACACAATCTCTAAATCAGGGCAAGACCACACCAGGAGTGACAGTTCATCGTGTTGGAGCCAACATACAGCATGATGCCGGTACCTAAGATAATCTCAATGAACACAGGATACAACTTCGCTGCCTTTAGGGATTCACATGACTGGGGGAATGAGCCATGCCAGGCTTCAGATCATGCTCTAGACAGGTGCTCTTCAATGGGCAGGCCATCATGGCATGATTCACTGTGACAGCCCCGCGTCAGACAGGCGACGTTTTCCCGAACGAGATTAATGCTGAGCTCTCCGCACTCCACACTCTCTAAGCACCACTGCTGGGCTGATTCCCACAGCGCAACCTTTGGCAACTGGCAAATACAAAGTTTTCTGGAGATCTAGTGGAGTAGTGTGTGATCCTGATGAGTGTGGGAGGGGGGAACACAAGGGGGCCCCGACAATAAAAAGTCCTCAAAACGAATGAGGGTCTGGGGATCTTTTATGACTCCCATTAAAATTAAGAAGACAAGGGAGATCCTTCGGCTGCTGTTGAATTTTTGAGGAATGGCTCAGTTTAGCGTTCAAGAGAATGGGAAGGGCAGGGTCCTCGGCAATAGAGGTTAGCCTTTATGTTTAAAGGCGAGGCCTTGGAAACCCTAAAACCAATTACAACATATCTAAAATCATTCTCTCTCAGTTAAACATATTTAAGATCTGAGAAAATCTCATGAATACATATGTACTGACGAAAACCAATTAACATCTGACTACCTAAGGACCTGACAACAATTAGAACTCGACTTCACTAGCAGGTAACATTGGAATAGAGCCTGCCTTTTTTTTGAAGCCCGGGCCTTTGACTTTAATGGCTTTTTGGTCTTACCATTGACCCGGCCAAGAAACCTTTACATAATTGAGCCCCCCAAATCGTCTATTTGTTATCGAGGATCAGGGGTCTGCTTGACTCTTTGGAGTCTGATTGCCTAGTCTGTTCATATAAGCGGTGAAATGCAACATCGATTAATTGATTGTTTTTGGCGGCTTCAGAGTCCAGATTCCGCAGGTAGTAGAGCCTGGCCTTCCTGTTTACAAGGCTTGCCTGTAGTACCAATAGCATTCTGGCCTCATGAAAAGTCTTCCCTAGATTTGTTTTGGCAGAAAAATACTTGATTGGCGCTCCCCCCAAATCGAATAGGTCCAGAATAATCTTCTCAACACTTTACTTTATTGAATGCGACCCCCGCACTTATCAAGATCCAAGATTAATCAGATAAGTTTAGCCTACATGCTGCCACTGCCCCCTCCCCACACCTGACCAACTTGCATCTGGTCTGGGCCCCAGACAGACCACCGCACACTAACACCGCCAACGGGGTGGGTGCCAACCATTTCGGAGGAACACCTTCACGCGCTCTCAGGAAGTGCGTGATGCACCCCACAAAACGAGCCTCATCCCCTTTTGCTGCCGGAACCCGAGGGACGACACCTGCTCAAAGACTACAGCTTTTCCCATCCATGGGCACCTTGAGCTTCCACCACTGCCTCATCCTCGATATCAGCTGCAGTCCCTTCTGGTGCCCAGAGCTCCCGGGCCACTTCCTGGCAAGAAGTGCTGCCCCATTCTTTTGTCTGGCTACCCAGCCCACAATCCTGACAAATGCTGCAGCGGCCTTCAAGGTCTTCATGTCAGAAATGCCAAAAGGGAAGCGGAGCAATGATCCGTAGCCCTCCCATGTAGCGTCAGGGAGAACTACAGTTGCGCACGAAGCCTCTGTGCCTGGCTCGAATCAAGAAATTATAGAATACTGCATGTTGGGCCTAGCGCTGCTTGGTGTTGCAAACACAACCGGCAGCCTTTGGCCAATCGGGGGCTTCAGTCGAACCTGGCTGAAGCTGCGAGGACCTACCGCAGGACGTCATGAAACATCTGAACAGCTGGTCCGATCCGGTTGGGGCCTGATGGGCTGAGCTCTGCGGACTTCACCTGTCAGGATGAGGTGAGGACTCGGGCTGAACGCCGCCCACAAGAGGGCCTACTCATAATGCGGTCCTGCTACTGAAGGGCATATATGGGACGACTGCGCGGCGTGCACCGGGAAACACGAACTGCGCCTGTCTCTGTAGAATGGCTCTGGCAAACCTTTGCATCAGCTGAATATAGCTGAATCAACACCGCACTCGCCAGGCTTTCTGAATGCGCCCTCCACGCAACTCAGCAATCTCAGCCGTCCTGCAGCGACTTGCGGCAGTCCACGAGCTCTGCCTGTGCACAGCGTGTAGGCCGGGCGGCCAAGTACTCAAGCAAAAGCAGACCATGTTGTGTCATGCGGGCGCCAGTGCTTAATCGCAGGCGCTCTCCCGTCTTCCCGCTTAATACAACAGCACCATGGTCCGGGCTATGTAAGGTAGAACATCACACAAGTCTTTCGCAGTACACAGGAGTGTGCGCCGGAAGTATCCATCAGACATCAACTCAATCCCGCACCTCGGCCCTTTCTGCCGCAGCAACTGCACGAAGTACGTCCGCAGCAGCGCCGCGCGGCACTGTGGCGAGAAGATAGGGTCGCTTGCTGAGGTCCAGGGAATCCCTGCGGTGCCTCACCTTGCTAACCACCTTTGTGCAAAGGACCCGTCACTTAAACGTAGGCAGCCTCCTTCCACTTATCGGCAACTTCCCAATCACCACGCGGCCTCTCTTGGGATCTTCTTGCGAATCGGCCTGAGGGACGCACACCCATGGTTACGCAAGCGCGAAAGCCTGGCATGGTTCTCTACGCAACAGATTGCAATGGGTCTCTGCTGGCAAATCATGTAGGCATATTTGGACCATCTTGAGCTTTTTGGTGGGCCAGCGGACACAAACAGCCCAACATAGCACAACTGCTTCGGACACCTCCTGATCTTGCTCCGCCCCAGCCAAAAAGCCAAGGGCGCAACGACTGCGGCAAATAAGGCCGCACCTGCCAACCTCCCAGGCAACGACCGTCTGTCTGTTGTTGGTGGGAAGCTGAAAATGTTCGGGCTGCGTCCCAACAAGCAATTCGGTTGGCACCTCCGCAGCATTGTTCACACCGAGTTTTGACGCAGCAGAAGGGCCATTGCACAGGGTTGTCTGGCAAGATACGCGAGACCAAGATCGGCAAAAGTCTACCTGGCACCCCAAGGCGTGGGGTACGTAATCTAAAATTACTGAGCGGGGTGTGATTCAGGAACTTGGGACTGGATGGTGTTCCACATGTCAGGAGATGCGATGAAGCTGACGGCCAGCGGCTGGCTCTTGCTGAACGCCCGGCAGGGCGTTGGACTCAAAGTTCACGAGCTGTTTGTCGGGAACAGTGAAGCATCGCGAAGGCGTCTCACCCCTAGCAGGCATCCTTGGCCCGTTCCCTAACTACTTCGGCCCTGAGAGATGGATGAACAGAAGCGGCCGAGAAAACAGCAGCACACATTCATGTGGTCATTCTGTGATTCAAGTGAGGCCTATTGTAGGTGAGCGAAAGTTGACGTATCAGGTGCGCATTGAACTTTTGATGGAATCTCAGAGCCGGAGACCGGAGCATACTGGATCTTTGCAGCAGCCCAATCGCAGCTATCTGGCATGTAATTAGTCATGAATGTGTGCACGACGATGGTTTTGATGTTGGATCACCTGCCACAGTTCTCAACAAGAGCTGGAGCCAGCATGGAGCCACCCCCACCCACAACTTCATGCATGTTCACTTCGCAGAAGCTACGGCGAGGCCTTCCCATTCACACAAGATTCGTGCTCTGTTGTTCTGGGTCAGCAGATACCATCCTGACACTGAATTGGGTGCTGCGACGGGACCTGGTGAACATGCACGAACAAACCCCGCAAGTCTGCTGTGGCTGCAATAACCAACAAGGCAGGTGACGGTTGCGGACGGTCAGTCCGCATTGCAGAGTCGAGTGCATGGATGCTCTGCCTTGTGGTTGCTAGACCTCAGTCAGTAGGTCTTGCGTTATGATTCAGTAGCCCACGCGAATATCAAAACCGTAAGCAAAGTGGCAACAGCAGCGACACACCACATCACTACCGACCCTGCACTACACATGTACGCGCCCGATTCAATGATAAGACGGTGTCACAGTGGAAAGCATGCTGAAGTCATCGTACGTTGCGATGCAAGCTCTATGGTCGGGATTTCCACAAGCGCATCCTGCACAAAAAGTTCAAAGCAAGACCATATCACCGTTCGTAAAGCAGCCTAGAGATTGTGTTGGCGCTGCCGGCTCCTGGTCTGTGGGCTCAACCTCGCTGTCAATACTATCCTGATTCCTTCAGCGCGCATGCAGATGCTGGCAGGAATGCTACCGACACCCATATGCTCATTACTGCACATGTTCATTTCTACTTTATTACCCTGACACGTCAGAGTGTTGCAGAAGTAATCCCTTCCCCTGATATTAAAACCCCGCTAATGTTAAATTTTTTGAGGAGGGACCTAAAGCGCTGGAAGAGAACCCCTCAAAGGGGAAGACTTCTTTCAAAAGGGCCACCTAGTAATGAATCCGCGGGTAAGTCGGAATGCTTTTATATGTTGTTATAAGGACTGATATGGAATTAGGACCTCCTTTGCTTGCTCGTGCGTCATCAGTTATAATATGTTTTAACACGGTTTCTTTTACAGCCAGTCATACGCGAAACAAATCATGGAAATCCAATCAGAGGTGACTAATTCAATGAAGCAATAACTTGGAATCCACCGAGGCCGGAGGCCTGGGGCGTTAGATCCAGGTCCGGAGTCTAGGAGAGTAAGCTAATCCTCCCTACGTTGGAAGAATCTGCTTTTTTTTGTTTCTACGGCAAGGGGGGTCCGGCTGGTCGACTGGGCTTGGCCTGGGGCGCCAGGCTACCAACGCGGATGGGGGGTCCGGGGGGGGGTTGGGCGTGGGGGAGGCGGGGGGGGGAA